TGACGAAACGTTTGCAAATCAATTGCCAAGCTCGGCGAACAGATCAACAGCCACCTGATCAATTACCAACAACTGAACCTCATGGGTGCGTTAATGTAAAACCGCTACGGCAAACACCTCTGTGGCTCCACGCTATCCAGTGTGGTCAATAAGTTGTACAAGGGGCCACGCTTCATCGGGGACCACCAGCTGGATTCAACTCACACCCGTCAGCAGAAGGACAGTTAAGAAAACTCGATTAAGCAAACAAGTGCATCAAGCGCCGCCAAGAAACACGTTGGACAAGAAGGACCAATGAAGGAGTTAGTAGGATGTCAACGTTGCGAACTCAGCTCATCATAATATTTCTAAAGATCGAAAAATTGTAGTGTAGAAAGGAAATAAACAGTGTAGGAACCCATTCGAGAATGAATCAGTCAGATACAAACTGCATGTGCTCCACCATCCTAAGTAAAGGTCTCTTATTCACATGCACTCGGTGTATGTTGGCTAATCATCATAGCATCGAGAATGCCAGCTGTTCCGGATTGTGATTTCTGGGTATATCAGGAGAACCAGCCAATAGAATGACTGCTTTTGTTCAGATAGATTTCATTGGTTGTACTTCACTCGCCCTTGATAGATGAGTTGTATTCTTAGTGCCACTTTTGACCGCTTGTACGCGACAGTGATCAATAGATCAGCTGGCTCGCACGATCACTGATTTTTCTGGTTTGGCCAAGCGCACCAGCGGATCAGGCGGCTATCCGGACCGGGGTTCACGGTAATGAGAAGGCATTAAAAAGATTGTGGTCCACAAAATGGTATAGTCATGAGCGTTGTTCTTTGGTCAGCCTGCACTTGTTTTGCGACTGAGAAGTTTGTCTTGTTTCCAGAAATGAAATGGCTAGTTTGTACCAAGGGACGTTCACTGTCTGATCTGTTTCGCGGATGTCGGTTCCAACGCAGCCGTATGCGATCTGATTTATGAAATACGAGGATGTGAAGTCGAAGAACGCATTGCATGCTAATGTGCGGCTTTACAAGTGCAACAAGCCTTGTAAGTTATTTGTGCTTTGTAACTGAATCAAAGCGATGACTCAGCAGGTCAGATGGTTCGTGACCTGTCCACAGAGATTGGCAGGCGATTCGCAAACATTTCGTGTCCATTCAGGGAGGCGTAATCATTGGAAGGCTGATCACGTCAAGCTCGCACCAATGTCATTTATGGAGAGTAGCTTTAGGCCCCAGCCCAACTGACTGTTTGTGCGTCATCTCGTTCGTAGTCTGATTGGTCCGTTCGTGATGCCTGTTAGTACGTGGTCGAAACTGCTTCCGTTTGATTGGCCCATTATTTACCATCTTTGTCCACTCTTTTCTCGTCTGAATAGGTTGCTTGTGACCTGTCTTATGCTTGGATGATTTTACACTGTCATCTTTAATAGTTCACTCACTTCGCCTCGACTAGTCAACTTTCAACTTGCAGTTTATCTTTACCGACCTCAATGATTGATTGGCACGACTTATATCTGCGGACCTCCCACTATTTTGACCCGTTTTTTTCATTGGACTGACTGGAGCTAGAGTCGATGAGAGTTATGGTTTCACACTTGACTGATCATCCAAACTTCTTTTCACTTTAACCCCTTCTGTCTATCCCTCATTTCTCGTTCGATTGGTCTCGTTCAAGTTGAATTTGTATTTCGTTCATCTGTGTACAGGAAAACCGGGAAGGACGCGATACAGGAGCGCAAATACGCAGGTTCAGCGTGAACAAAGTGTGCGCTAGACTTTTGAGTCTATCGGGGTAAACCTTTGGATTTGAACGTACTGCTCTTTGCATGCGTTCCGTGACAAGAGACGTAGGCCTGCCCGAGGGATGAATAACCTAACTAACTGACATGTTTTCCTGATTTTATCATGCCACTTCGTGGGGAGAAAAACCGTCGGCGTTCCGCAAAGTCAGCAACCATTTATGTTATTTCATGGGGAAGGGAGGAAAGCTCTTCGCTGCGGAGTTGTTTACTGGAAAACTTCAACTAAACAGCTACAGACAGAAAGTAAAACTCTCATATGCACCCTGTTTTGGAAACGGAACGGAACTCTGTCTTCTTCTTCTTGAACTTCCGTGGATATCACGCAATTTTAAACGAGCGATGCAAAGCGGTTCCACAAATTCCGCAACAAACCCCACCTTCCAATAGACGTGAAGCGGAGATACGAGTAAATAGACTACTCGCATGCCTCATCAGTAGTATCTACCCCTTTAATGGTATTATGAGGAAATTTAGTAATCTTCAGTAGTGACTCGCATCTCTTAGTGAGGTCAGTCTATATCGGAAATCACTGTATAGTTGCGTCATCCTTGTTGGAAAACATCGGCAGTGCGCATCTCCCGATACTCTGGTATGGAGTTTCGAAACCGCGATTTTCTGGCCAGTGGTTGAACACTTAACCATCTGGCCACAAGTGTCTGATCAGCAGTGTGTTTACCTCTCACTTAGACTTGCTCGGACGGTTAAGTGTTCAACCGTTAGTTGGAAGGTCGCGGATTTGAAATTGTCTGAGCTCCGTGATGACTCTCGACAAGGATGAAAGAACTGTCCAGTACTTCTCTGTTTTTCAGCACAGACTGGCTGGGCTGAACAATCTACTTTAGTTCCAGGTATTGTATCCCTCATCGGTGACCGCGTTTGACGTCCCTTGTTTGTGCCACTGATTCGTTTATAACCTTGAAGGGTGTTGCGCATTCCCAGCTCATCATATCAAGACAAAATAAGATTTATGAATCGTGATGGAGGGCGATTAAAGTTGAACATTCAAACTTCCTTCGTCCGTTTTTTTAGAACTAATTTTGTTCCGATACGTAAAGCAACACGGCCATACAGGTATGTCGGGGAAATCTACGATGCTGAATATAAATATTAGCCAGAACACCGTATTTGGGTCCTGAGAAACAGACCATTGTGAGTGATCCAGCCATAGTTTAATACGCGGACGAGACGTCTCAGTGGTTAGAGCACGAATTTACTGACCGGAAGGTCCGGAGTTCGAACCCGACCTCTGACTCTCGACTTCCTCTGTCTATCCGTGGGCAACCTGGCAGTATCCCAGCCCTCGTGCCACATTCTGGTGGCAAAGTAGTTAGGCACCGAAAGGATGCTACAGCTGAAGAATAGTTCGTCAGTCGTGGTTCATAGCTTTATACAACTGTTGGTTTGCCTACCGTGCTGAATCGGGGATCAGTTTAGATAAGATTTGCATTAAACAGTGAAAGCAACATGTCAAGACACGGTTGAATGCGTGAAACAATGATCAGGTTGAGCTGAACATTCTATGAGGTACTCTCCAAGATACACTGATAGAAATCTCTTGAGTGGACATAAGCTCCTAAACCAGGACTAAGATTTGTCGTTAACTGAGCAGCTCCGTGAAATTAATAGACCTTGAGAGTAAGAAATTCTAAAATGGCAGGCATAAAAATGACAAAACGCGTTGCCAACTGTACCCATCAAATGTCCAAAATGTGCTTCTGTTTCAGTGGTCCCATTTATGAGAACCACTTCATACTTCCTAAAGACAGCACATTTCTTACTTGGGGGCATGACTACAGAGAGAATCGGAGCTCTGCAAACGCAGACATGGCTGTTAACTGATCTCCATCCCACGGATACTGTCAAGCCATGAAGCGTTCAAGAAACTGACTTTTAAAGTTTGTCCCTGGTTTATGAAAAGTGCATTTTACAAACGCACATTCTTACTCAGTCAATCGATCCGAAGTAGTCATAATCAGTCACGTGAATTCTCTGTCCAACGCACTAGCTTAGTCTTTCGGGCGAGAAAAAAAGTTCACTGCAGTAGTCGCTCCATTTCCACAGCTCTAAGACGCAGTGAGGATTGCTAAAGCGCAAACGGAGTACCAGTTCTTATACCTTTTTCCAGACAAACGGAACACGATCTAGTTTGTATTATCGACCAGGTAAAATGAGATCAAGGTCGCAGAGTAAGCTTTCAGTTTGTTAACCATTTTATTCGTGCCTTTGTGTGTCACTCTACAGAGATAACGCATTTTACAAGAGAATTCTCCTATCGTCGGAAATTCATATGGCAAGAAAACGTCAAGCTGAGGAATCACCCCGCTAAACGTTCCGTAAGCAGACGTTTATGACAAAGCAAACGCAGTTTCAGGATGCAAACAACAAGAAATTCTGAACTACTCTCTTTCGTCGACGCCCAGCGTGAATACATTGTATAATTTATCTTAGAAGCGCTGGTAGTTTTGAACGGCTTCAAGGCCTTCTTAACAAGGTACTCAGTGAACGAGGATTCAGTTGTTCGGTGGGGATTTAGTCTAGAAAAACATCGATCGTCTGCCGTGGCTGGGGCATGTGCTACGCATGCCGAAACACCATCTACCAATACGCCTACTGTTTCCAGTGTCTCCTTCAGAATGACAGATTAAAGGAAGATACCATAAACGAGAGAACCAGCTGGGTTCCAGGTGAGTCCTTTGTTGAAAACAAAATGGTACGCAAATAAGTGCATTTCGCTGGATTACGAGATGTTTGGTTGGAAACGTTGCCCGGCTGATGGGCTTCTGTGCTTTCAGTTTATTTCCAGACTTGTTCGCTGAGTGTTTATTGGTGTAGGCACCTCAGAACGTTTACAATAGCTAGCACCAGGCCCCCTGTCACTCATCCTTCTCCTCATTTGTGATTTGATTTGTGATTGGATAAACTTTATGGTTGTACGCCAGTGACAACAGTATTGTTGCACCATTAGTTGGTGACGATGTCGATACTGTGAAAAAAATCGTTCAGCTGTAACACCCTTTCGGTGCCTAGCTGCCATGCCATCCAAATTAAACACGCTGGCTGGAATACTGTCAGCAAGCCTAGACAGAGTAAGTCGAGAGGCAGAGGTCGGGTTCGAACCACGGACCTTCCGGCCAGTAAATTCGCGCTCTAACCACTTGGTCCATCTCGCCCCCCGATACTGTATGAACGGTTGTTCGACAGTTACTTTGTATTCTGTGCTTCAAACACGTTTCGTTTAAATTTGGACGAATTCATGCTTTCCCCATTCATCATCATCAACCTAATTCACATTCCTCCGTCTGCCACCCAATCAGAAACATGTTGACTTTTCCTTCCACGGAGACACATTCGTTCAAACTCTCTGTCCACCCAAATTTAGAACCGTCGCACTGCCAGACAATGGAGTCGCTATCAACTCCAACTGCATCCAAACTCTGTAAAGTTTCGGGACCTGTAAGCTGAGGTTGTGACTTGATGTTATTCCTACCACTTCGGAAGCACAAACTTCTGCGAAACACTTATCAAATGGACTAGGAAAAAACACGGAATGTCGAAATACAACCGCGTTTTATCCTAAATACGTCAAACTTACTATGTTCTAAAAAAGCAGTTTGATTTAAGGTGGGTAATTCGCAGTTTATTTGTTTGATAGATTTTTGCAGTCAGATGAATGGTACTGACTCAGCGAACTTACATTTGTGAACCGGACAGCATTCCTTCTGTTTGACCGTAGAACTCGTTGGCCTCCGTTTTGAGCGCATCCACTTTTCGCTTGCAACGTAACAATGCTTGGAGCAATATATTCTTGTAACTGTTGACTGAATTCTTGATCAGCCAGAGAAATACAAATTATGAGCTCTCTCAAGTTTGATAAAAATATGTACTACTGATAGAATAAGAGTAGAGCAAAAATAATCAATTTTAGGTTGAGCTGACCGAAGGTGAATTCATGGTGAAAATTGTTGGCATGCGCCAGGTGAACTTCCTAGTTGGACTTCCTGACAAAGAAGGCTAAGTCTTTGAAAGTTTCGAACAAGTATCGAGGCTTAACCGACCGAAATCGTGCCAACATACCGTTCTGACAAATGCGGGACACTTGGGATCTGTTTGCGCCATCCAAATTGTCGTCTCCAGTTCTTCCACTTTCTTCCAATCGATAGTGTTGTCCAGCATATTATCCATTTCAGTCATGGCAGCCTTTAACAGAAAAGTGACATGAGGGATTTAAATAACTTTCAAATAACTGACGACACACACGCACATCTATCGACCGAGACGACATTTGAATCACCCATGATAAACCCTACACGTGTTTGCCGACCAAACTTCATTCATGGTGAGTGGAAAGAAATGGAAGGTTCATAACAGTTGACGTTTGCATTGGCCGGGTTGGAAAAACTTGACAGCGTTTGATGACCATTGGACAGGCTAACGTTTTTGCCTGGCAGAAAGAGGTTTTGGTACAAATTAGCGAAAACTAGGCTTCAGGGGCCCCATTTTTGTCTGTTTCAAAATAGCAACCTAGATACCCATCTCTTTGAAATCTGAATGTTCTAGTGTAATTCAGGGTGGTCGAACAACTTTACCAGACTGGACGGAGGCCGGAATATTAGATATGGGAAGAACAGAAAGGTCTTGTTCATGTACCAAAGCGTCCTCTCCACTGGGAATTCAAAAGTGCAGGTACTAGGTTGTCCTACCTCTGCGTCTTCCTCAATGATGATTACCTGAAGAGAGATGAAATCTAGTGTGAGTGTACAGGATCGTCAGACAGTAGTTTGAGGTTTGATGCCACTCAATTCGACCGAAATTTGTCCTCGGTTGGACATATTTTCCGCCCAAAATGTTCATTTCAGGATGCCCATTACTGCCGCTCCTTGATAAACAAATGAAAAAATATCGTTCTGTAGTACATTTGCCAGTTCACCTGGCTTTGCGATGATAAATGCTTAAAGATCTAGCAAAGACTATGTGAAAAAACCCTACGGTATAGGCTGACCCTAACAAAACTCTGGTGAGGTTCCAGACAAAGTTATCGATTGGCATCGAATCGGCACGGGATATATTGATCCACGGGGCGGGATGGTTCAGTGGTTAGAGCGCGAATTTACTCACCGGAAGGTCCGTGGTTCGAACCCGACCTCTGCCTCTCGACTTACACTATCTAGGCTTGGGCAACCTCGCTGTACGCAGCCCTCGTGCAGCAAGGCATCGAAAAGTTGTTACAGCTGAACGATTACCTATATTTCTCAACTGATGCGTTCGACCTTGTCGATCGCAAGATTCAAATGGCCACAGAGATCGATATTTCCTGAAATATATTTGCCAGGAATCTATAGCCTGTCCTTTACGAATAGAAACACTTGATGGTTACTTTGATATTAATTTTGACTTAATTCAATGATATAACCAGCATTGTGTTACTCTACGTGATGTAGACAGGGTAAAAGAGTACACGAAATAAATTCAACCAGAGAATTTGTTGAGTGCAATCCCATTCAAACTGCTCGGGAAGTCGCTAAGCCTAGCTTACGAATAACCACTCGATCAGGATCATTTGGAACCGTTGATAATTCAGGAATCTTTACCGACGCTTCGAATTATACAAAGCAGTGATTCCGTCTACTGAAATAAGTCAGTAGCTTTGCAATGGAACAGGTAAGTCGGGTTCTATCGCTGCTGGTCAGTTTGTTCGTCAAACCGGATAATTCGGCTACAACAGTTTTGATTTTGAGGTGCCGATGTCTTCTCAAAATTCGAGTCATTCTGTTTAACCAACACAAGAGTCCAGTTTGGACTGACGTATCAAAAAAGGAACTGTCGGACGAATTTAGATACTTTGGCAACCGATTTCTGAACGTGGAATGTCGTCGGCGGTCCGGACAGACAATCTGCTAAAACTAACAACCGTTCAGCTGCCACCCACTTTTTGCGTCTAGCTGTCGTGTCACTTGGACTTTGAGATACTGTCTGGTTTCCCAAGCATAGACGGGAGCAGTCGAGGAACTTGGACTGGGTTCGAACCCCGGACTTTCCGGCCAGTAATTTCATAAACGGACCACTGAGCTACGTCGAGTTCACCTACGGACAGCTTATTAGCTGTGTCAGCTGTTCAAAGGTATCATACACACACCTTTTTGACCAGTAAATTTATCGAAACAACTAGAGTGAGTAGCATGGATTAACGCTTTTTTTCACCCGTCGTACAACAGTGCAGTTTAACTCGGATTTTCAATGTCTGATGTTGAACAAATCCGGGTCAAACAATTCTAATGGGTTGATTCTGAGCTGGTTCACACCAAAATCCTTGAAGTATGATCCCGCCAGATATTTTTTATTTTAAAAATGAGTGGCTAACATCCATCAAAGGCCATTTTTGGGTGCGTTATATTCTATCGGTCCTAATGGGACCATCTGTTGATCCAGCTGGCTTCAAGTCATACCGGGAAGTCTTACAACCTAATGGATCTGAGGAGAGTCTTGGAAGAGAAGACATCAGCCTTCTAGTCAGATACGCCCATTTCCCTCCTGAAATCAATGTTTGATTTTGCAGTTTTCTCCTTGGAAATGTGATGGAGTGGATTTATTTTGAAAAGCAGACGTGAAGTAGAGCCCCTGAATACCGTTCTCGTTGATTCACTGGGTAGCCGGTCAATTGTTGTTAGTCCTTTGGTGAGTGGCTGGCTTGTCCTTGGCTCTCCACTTTCACAAGGGGAATTTTCATTGTATTGTGAGAAAGTACATCTCAACTCTCTCAAATTTATTCGTTACTCGTGACCCTTCCTTCTTCAAGAAAGCACGGTAAACATACTAACGTTTGATAAAACCTCTCCAGGGTCATCTTCGCGACATCTAAACTCTAAGCGCTCTAGGTTTACTCACACCAGAAAAACATAAATTCTTAAGTTTGGGCAAGTAAGTATGTCATATACACGTTAATAAGTATTCGCAAATTTGCTAAAAGCTCGCTGACAGCCAGCAACCGGTTTTGTCCTTATTTGGGCTCATCAGATGGACGCATTCCTCAAGTATGAGTCAACCTTAGATTCTAATAACCGCGTACTCGTCATACAGTGGTTGTAGCTGCCGCAGTTTCGTTCACCGATGGTTTGGGGGGGAGGGGTAGGTAGCTGCGCGTTGCAGTCGGGAGCTGATAAATTGGTGCATAAATCCAGCACTGTCAGTGAGCTATCAGGTCGGGGGAGGGGGGATGGAAAAGGAGCTATGCATTGAAGGCAATAGCTTGAATGCATGAGCGCCATTGAGGGCGCGACTGGGCCATATCTGACAATGTCTCTAACCATTGATATGGCCCGTCTCGAGGTCCTTATCCAGGAAGACCGGCGCAGCTGAGTTTGCTGGTAATGGCTTTCACACTTCGCTGTCATGAAGTGAAACCCAAACTGGCTTAAACAGGCTACTGAGCATAAACCGGCCTCCTCTGTATAAAACATTGGTACCTATGGAAGACTGAAATAGAGCTTGATGAGCCAGTTGAATAAATGTCCTTATAAAGTAAAGATTTGTTATTTTTGATTGCGTTGTGTTGTGGATAACCAATCAAGCATCCCAATGAAGCTACGAAAACCACAAGTACTTGTGCATCTTCGCGATATCGTGTGGACAACCGGAACCGATAGGTCTTCGGGACA